TACCATGCATTCGGCTTGTGCGCACTGTATTGGTGCGTTAAGATTATCATATTCGGCAAATGAAAACTAGCCCAGTGTAGTGCTGAATTTATATTCGGACCAATCGAATGAACTGAACGAGTTCAAGAAATGTTGCATTAACGTTTCTGACAGTACAATTTGACATAGCACCAAAGTGATTCTGCACTCACACCATGACTACGTTTACACCGTGCACTTAGGCCGCGGCCTATACAATAGATGTCCTTATTTATCCTGTAGGTTAAACAAAGTCATCTATCGTATAGGTCGCGAACTAAGTGCACGGTGTAAACGTAGCTCATGTTAGGCCGGAATCAGACTATACATTGAAGATTGAGGTTGAAGATTGAAAAATTCAAATTTGACCAATCGAAATGAAAGGAGCTAAAATTTCTTTGTCCTTATTGGTCAAATTTCAATCTTCAATCTTCAACCTCAATCTTCAATGCGTTGTCTGATTCCGGCCTTAGGGCAGCAATAGAGCAGAATCAGTGCACGTATGCCGAATTCGCCATTTGACAATTTGAGGGGGGAGAAAGACAGGAGAAAGACAGTCGGAAACAGCAATCAACAGCAATGGATAAAGTTTTTAGATCGTTCCATACGAGCCGGCCGGCATTGTATAGAACATTGACAAACGAGCAATGTACGCAGTAAGTAATTCACTTTCCGTCGAATAGATACATAAATTTTTCTGCCATGTATATTTATATTTCTACTGACAGATGTAGATTTGTGAACATATCTATATGTTTTTCAGGACATTCAATAAACTTGTGAAGCAAAATGTATCTGCCGTCAGTAGAATGTTATTGGCGCAAGAATATTCAACGTAAGGTTTATAATTTCATTGTTTCATATATATGAAAAATTTCGTATATACTGCACCACATTGATACCTTTATCCAAACAAAATCAAATGTGTAAAAAAAAAACGGATTTGACTGTTGCAATGTAATCCACAGATTGTCAGCAGAAACCTGCTAACGAATGATGATATATCAATTGTAGTAGGAATTAAGCAGAATTTCATAACTTTTCGATGATAATTCTTTGTAAATAGTTACAAAATGACACTTACTTGGTTTTTACTACTAGATTATATTGTCAGTTTTGCTGGCAAAACACGAGCTTGAAGCATAGATATATAGGTAGTACTAATTTGTCACAAAATTCTGCTTGAATTTGCTGACAAATTGCTAGCTAATATTTTGTTTCTATTGTAGTATTTTATTAAAAGATTCTATATTATATTTCTGTTGACATTCCATTGACAAAATTTGCAAAATGCTTTGTAAAATCTGTTTTCGACACAGTCAATAAAACAGTAAGTCATTTATATACATTATTTTCAGAGTTCTCCCCATTGGTGTTAGACACTTACATGGCAATGGAACAGTTTGTACACTATCCCCTAAACGCAGTCCTCTGATACATAGCCAACAAAGACGTAGCATGTTTATCCAAACACAAGATACACCAAACCCAAATAGTCTGAAATTTATCCCAGGAGTGTCAGTATTAGGGGAAGGATGTACGAAAGATTTTCCAAGCGCTAAGGATGCATACTGCTCGCCACTTGCAAAAATGTTATTTCGTATCGAGGGAGTAAAAGCAATATTTTTTGGACCAGACTTCATCACGGTTACAAAAGTCGATGAGGACGTAGAATGGAAGTTATTGAAGCCAGAGGTATTTGCTACTATTATGGATTTTTTTGCAAGCGGATTGCCAGTCATGGATGAAACTTCTCAGCCTGCAGCGGATACACGTATGATGTACAATTTTATACAAAATATTCAGGGTAAAGTAAAATGCTTGATCGTTTTTATTTTTGTAGAAATCAATGCGGAAGATGACGAGGTTGTTCAGATGATAAAGGAATTATTGGATACACGAATACGTCCCACAGTACAGGAAGATGGTGGTGACATTGTATTTATGGCAAGTGTTTCTAAATCTTAAGGGATTCCATTATGTATCCATTGTTTCGAACATAATACATTATATTTCTTATAATTGCAACAGGGTTTTGAGGAGGGTATTGTGAAATTAAAAATGCAAGGTTCATGTACCAATTGTCCAAGCTCGGTAGTAACATTGAGGAACGGTGTACAAAATATGATGCAATTCTACATCCCTGAAGTACTCGGAGTTATACAAGTACAGGATGAGACGGAGAAGATTGCCGAAAAAGAATTTCAGAAATTCGAACAAAACATTAATAAAATGGATGAAAGTAAAGACAAATAGGCATTGTAGTTATCAATTTGTACACGATAGTGGACTTGTACGTCATCTTGTAATTGTGTACATTGTAGACATTGTATATTATATATTAAGTGTAAATAATAAGACTTATAAATATTGTTGAGAATTGTAAGTTTTTATTACAAAGTATTTATCTGCTAGATACAGAAACTTGCCAGACGCGAATAGTATTATCAGAATACCCAGCAAATAGTGTCTGGCCGTCAGTAGACCACGCGAGAGACAGGCAGAGAGGAGGTTCTGCTTTACTGGTTGCAGATACGACTTCGGGTTTCAGTTCCTCGACCATCTCTTTAGTCTCAAGATCCCAGATTTTGATCCATGGTCCAAACGCGGCGCAAAGCCAATAACGATTAGGGCTGAAGCATAAAGCTGTAATGATGTCGTTATGATCCAAAGTGTGAAGATGTTTTCCATCATTCAGATCCCACAGCATAGCTTTACAATCCTGCGAATAGAATTAATATAATATATAATTCATATGATAAATGCATTTTGGATGATAAATATGGTATGTGCCATATGCACCTTTCCACCGGATGCGCACAGTGATCCATCAGGTGATACCGTAACGGTATTCAGATATCCTGTATGACCACTATGATTGATCTTCAATCTGCAGTTCGTCAAGTTCCAGACCTGCAAAAGGCGTGAATTGCTGAAATTACTAACAAATTTATTGTGCAATTAAAAATAAAATATATAGCATTTAAAGTCAGTCCCATATCCGCATACACTCATAGATATATCATGTGTATAATATATAAAATATCCATCATTCTTATCAAATGTTTACATTTATCACGAATCTTGTAAATGTAAGCTTCGTTCTCACCTTGACGACACGATCCCAGCCTGCAGAAACAATGATAGGATTTGCGTGGTTGGGAGAAAAGCGCACACAGCTGACCCAGTCTGTGTGTCCATCGTCCTGGATGGTGTATTTGCACTCGGCTAATGTATTCCATAATTTAATCGTTTTGTCTCGTGAACCGGAGACAATTTGACGATTGTCCACAGAGAAAGCGACGCTCAAAACATCCTATATTCAACAGAAATTAATTTTAAAATTTAATTAATAAAGCAATTTTGTTTCATAATTTTTTAATATTGGATCGATACTTACGGCATCAATGATTTAATCCTACCTCTTCTATTTCTCAATAAAAAAAAAATATTAAAAAAAAAGCTTCAACGCATTTCATATTTTTCGCGGAATTCATCATAATCAAGATAAATAAAAAAAAAACTCATATTATGAAGCAATACCTCACAATATGGAAAATTTTTCTTTATCTTTGTTACGAAGAAAATTTAAATATGCATCATCACACAAGAGCGAAGTCACACCTTCGTATGGTCCTCGAATCTTCTAGTTGTACGACCTGCTGCCAAATCCCAAAGACGCAATGTTTTGTCCCAGGAACCAGACAGAGCGTAATTGCCGTCGGACGAAAGAACTACGTCACTTATGAAGTGCGAATGTCCGTAAAGACGTTTTTGTGGGATACCATAGTTAGCTTCGTCACGCGTCAATTTCCAAACGATCAGAGTCTTATCTAGAATGGAACAATACATGAGCTGCAATTGTTATTTCCAAGAATTTAGAATAATTTGACTAAACTTTAATTAACTTAATCATTACAATATCTATACTATTTTATTAACATTGATAAGTAAATTTTTGTTATTTAATACATGAGAAGAAAGATTTAAATTGAGAAAAAATAATATTATTATATATAAATTTTGCAGTAATTTAAATAGTCGAATTAATCACTAATTAAGTTAATTAATTGATTGTGATTTTGTAACTATTCATTTTACCAATTTAGATTACTTTTAATTTCAATTTAATTTATGCTTTATCCTTTTCTAGTTTTGAGCATTAGGTTCATTTCTGCCAAAAAATGTAGATCAATTTTAATTGGGTTTATTTACTCTTTAAGTATCTTTTCCTAATTATTAGAACTAAAAGATAAAAAGAAATTTAAACCAAGATTAAAATAAATCTACATCAGGAGAAATGGACATTAGAAAAAGATAAAAGATAAGTTAAACTGAAATTAAAGTAATCTACATTGATAAAAATTAGCATTAATGGGATGATACAGATGAGGAGCTCTGTGTGAGAATAGTCAATTAGCAAGTTCAATCCTTCATCCTTCATCCTTAGTTTACAACAGGCTAATTCAAGAATTTGAAGAGTATATGTAAAAGAGTATACAAGATGAATTGAATACTCTTGGTGCAAAAAATCCAGTCAACTTTTTTAAAAGTTACTACAATATTAATAAAAAAACTGTTTTGCAGAATATTACACAAAATATTTTACAAAAACTGTTAAGATCACTTTGCTCGGAGCTGTCCATTTCTTATACCAAAAGACATAGAATATTTGGTATAATCCATTCGAAGTTATCTTTTCCAAAAAATGGAGTTAACTGGATTTTTTCAACAAGCCTTTCAATTGTAACTTGTTTTAAGAACAATAAAGGATAAATAAGTTAGATACAGAAACTTTAAGCCAGTTTCTTCTAACTGAACTTCTTGCAAGTTTATCTTTCCTCTTTTTCTTTTTACATTGATAAGAATAAGAGAAAAATGAATTGTGCAAGAAGTTCAGCTAATAGAAATAATTTTTTTGTTAAAGTCTCAATCATTCTTAATTGTTATAGTTTCATAATTGCTGTTTGAACAGACGAAATATAACACGATATACGTAAAGTTTACTAATTAAATAAAATCGTTTTGTAGTACAAAATTATAGTAAAAAAATAAAGCAAATGTATAAAGCAAATGTATTAGTAAATTAAAATATAGGTAAAAAATCAGAATTTCGTTATAAAACTGTAAAAAAAGAAGGATTAGGAAAAAGAAGGTAAAGCTTAGCAACAGCCGATACTTGCCACGTGAAGAGGATAAAATCATGTCCGGATATTTCGGGTTCGTCGCAATTTGCGTGACCCATCCATTATGACCACGAAGCGTGCCTCTTAATTGTAAAGTTTCTGTCATTTTGAATCACTCTCGACCGCGTTATATCGTCGATTAAAACGGATTACTCCGTGCTTATCACGTCTATCGGACAACAAACGAAAAAGAACGAGCGGCACGCCGGATACAGCCTACAATTATTTAGCCGATATTCATAAATACATAGTTGCACCACCTGCTACATCACATTGCGTTGACGTTTAAGCCTATTGCACACTGGACGCGATGAGCGATATCCAATGAAAGTTCTGCTTTTTCTCACGCGACGACGCAAAGCAAAGCTCTCATTGGATATCGCTCATCGCTCATTCCGCCATATTGGCTCCTAGTTAGTGTGAGAAAATTCGAGCAAAGCAAAGATGCGTATCATACATACTACTTTCGTAGTATGTATAACATACTGATTTAAAAACTGAAAAAATAGCTTTATGAAATCTGATACAAGTTATTAATTATAAGTCACAGTTACTAAGTTCTTAATTATTAATTAAGAATTAATTATTTTTATTTAAATATTTAATTTGTTTTACGAAGTAGCTTCATTAAATGTGACACAAATCTTTAATTATTTAACATATTTATATAATGTAAACTTTCTAACTACGTCTTAATAAGTACAAACTATTATACATATATAGCTTTAAGAAAATATTCGAGCTTGAATACCAAAGTATGAAATGTTACTGTTAAGAAGGAGATATGATAGGTTTTTTTAATGTTTAACAGTTTCATAAAGATATATATATATCCTTTTAAACTACCTTCTTTTATTTTATTTCTAATCTTTGTTTATTATATAGTTTTTTAATTTAGTTCTGCCTTTTCAATATTTATCGTAAAATAAATCGTTATATGTATAATACATATCTATTTATTGTGTTAAATGTGTATTTCCGAAATTATTTTATTCATTTGCAAATAAAACTTTGGCACTGTTAAATTGTTATGCGCATAACAATACTTTTAAGTTTACTTCTCAATTGGCAGAATTGTGTATTTAATATATAATTGGTTGGTTTTGAAAAATGCGCCAGCTGCCAAGAGCCAACATGGCCGATGCACATTCCCATCTAATATAGTACCTTATCGCGTCCAGTGTGCAGTAGGCATTATGCCCGTGCCGGTAAAGTTCAACCATAGGATTTCAATGCTTTCGTTCATACTAATACGACAAGTCGAGGCCATCACACGTACAAAAATTTTAGTCGTAATCGTAAGGTCGCAAGTAAATCGACCAATCACAATCAAAATTACGATCTCGCGTTTAAAAACGCTCGACTGTGATTGGCCGATTTGCTTACGGCCTTACGATTACAACTAAAATTTTTGTACGTGTGATGGCCTTTAGTATGAATGAAAGCATTGAAATCCCATGGTTGAACTTTAGCGGCACCGGCATAAGTTAACGGTTACGGCCATTATAAATCAGGCTTTAATCGGGTTTAATAACATCTGGGCCTCTATTCTTGAAAAGTATCGCACACGACAAACTAGGGAAATACTATAGTGCACGTAACATGTGCTATAGTATTTCCCTAGTTTTACGTACGCGATACTTTTCAAGAATAGAGGTTCTGTAGTTATGAAATTGGTCAATCATAGCTGTTCCTTAGAAGAATGGAATGATTGTGATTGGACAGTTTTATAACTACCGATGTTATTAAACCCGATTAATGATGCCGTGTAAAATGTAGTCATTGGCTGCGTTCAGCAGACTCAACAGTTTTGTAACCGTTTTATGATTGTCTGCTGAGATAGGACTATTCTTCTAGATCTAAAAGTATGATCCAATCAGCGCGAAGGAAACTTCCAACAGTTGCAAAACAAACGTTCTGCTGAACGCAGCCATTAAATCGGATTAAGTGTGTCGTGTTTGGCGTTGTCTACAATATGCGAAGTAAGTTAGTTTAAGAAGTAAAGCCGGCGGCACACGATACGGTGCCAGCCTCGTAGCCAATAAGGTGGCAAGATTCTAATCTAGTTAG